AATCATAAAACAAAAATTTGAAGCACTTTTTTGAGCAGTAGCAACAAAAGAAAAATGATTTTGAGGAAAAACGCTTTAAAATTTTGAGATTTTCCCTGTGAGTTAGCAATGCTGTGTTCCTTTTTAGCTGGTAAATCTCAATATTCAAATATAATTTGAGGTTTCCTCTTTTATAAGGACATCAAAAATCCCTCAATAAAATGACAAAATTAGGATTCAGACCAAATATTTATGTACTATTGTAACCAACAAGACAAATTAAGTCATATATTTGGATTTAATTATGATATCAGGATGATCCAGGTGTCAAAATGTAGCTTTTAAAGCCAAGAATCTGAAAATGTAATTAGGTCATTTTGACCAAATTTGACTTAATCCTCATTTCAATATGATTGGTCACATACTGTATATATTTGAGCGTTACAAGTGAAAATAACTTAAAAGTGTTTTTGTATTTGTTTGGTAGAAGTAAAAAGTAGGCTGAAAAATAATTACTCAAGTAAAGTACAGATACCCAAAAATTTACTTAATTACAGTAACAAGGTATTTGTACTTAGTTACTTTACAACTCTGAAGCATACGAGTTAAAAAAAAGCACAAGTTTACTTTTTTCTACACTAAAAACAGTGACCACCCTACAGTCAGAAACCATTTTACAAGAACACCTTGTAATAATCAGTGCTCAAAGTGGACCAGTACTCTCAAATACTCTGTACTTGTACTTCTTAATTGTAGTTCTTAGCGAACGCCCCCTTTATAAACCTGTTGAGTGTCCCAAACTAAAGGCTACAGCCTATAATCAACACCTAAAGAAAGTATTTTTACTTCCGTTGTACAACACTGAAGGACACACGTTAGTTGAGTGTTGTACGACGGAAGTAAAAATACTTTCAATAGTTGCAATGTGTCAATACTGTTTGATATGTTTGTCAGTTTTTGAATGTAAAGATAAATTTCTGCTGCCTGACGAAGGCTGGAGGGACTTTTAATCTGAGCCATTCAGATGGTTCCAGTTGGTAAAAATCATTTTTGCAGTAATCCACCCTCAGCCAGCAGGAATGTGGCCGTCAGTTTGGGAGGTCCTCGTGTTTCTGTGGAGATCAGTCAGCCCAGAATAAAGCTTTTAGTTCAGGGTTTAGCTGCAGGCATGTCCCCGCTCCTCATTGGCTCTCAGCAAATTGTTCTGCGAGCTGGAAAACCTGCTCACATTCTTCTGCAGTGAGCCGCTCGTCGAGCTCCGAGCAGAGGGGATGAGAGTTTTACGCCCGTTTTTGTTTTCGTCTCTCCTGAGCTCACGCAGCTCCGGGAGTTTTACAGAACCGGGCAGAAGTACCGTGTGCAACACGTCTACGCTGAGATCGCCTTCGTAAATGTGCAGGACGCACGTCCTGTCCTCGTCGTTCTGCACACAGACGAGTTTACAAACTGTGTTCGCATGCAGGAATGAAACAAATGTGAAATCAAAACAATGCACGGTGAAATTATCTTAAATCTATACGTCAAAAGCAGCTCAGTAGAGTTCACAGAATCAAGGTTCCCACACATTTTTCTCACTCGCTGCTATAAAAAGTAAAGACTTCTTTTTGAACTTAATTTGCAAGTATTGCTTATTTAGTGAATTATATTCTTGTAAGTCCTTGCATCATTCCATATTTTAATCCCTACAAAAGAAAAAGACCTCCTTTTTATTATTTTCAGCTTGTCGTTTTATAATTAACATGTCGCAGATCATACTGAGATTCATGTAATATAAAAACATCTTTGCACCCAAACAGGCAACGCACTTAATTTTGATCTAAACAGTATTTGCATTATTTTGTAATGAAACAAATCATAAAATTTCATGATACCAGATGTAATAAACAGTGTTTTTTTATGTTCATAGTAACCAGCCTTATTAATAACACGTATGGCTTGTTTTTACTGTTGTTTCTACTGTTGTGATTCGTTTCTCATCCAAGTCATCTCCACTTTGGCACGCTTCTCCTCCTGCATACTTTGTCCTAGAGCTGCCATTGTAATTTATATTTGTAAAGCTCCTGTGCCAAATGATGGCTATGCCTTTTGGTGCCTGTATAACTTATAGTTTTTTTTAAATATTAATGTTTAATAATTTATAATTGGAGTCAATAGAGCCTTGTATTGGTCCAATGCTGCCCCTGCTGTATCTACTCAGTACTGAACCATAGTTTAATATTTAATCTCAATAGTTCAGTGTTTACAATACTAATATGATTGTATTTTGATGTTTTACTATAATATTGTCCAAATATTGCTTTATTGTTGTAATATTTTTCAAATTAGTGACAACCATTACATTGGCAATGTGGCCACTTTCTGCACACATACAAACCAAACCCTGGCCTCATTCTCTGCCACAGCTCGATTGGTCTCATGGTTAGTGCCGTGGGCTTTCATGTAGGAGATCAGGGTTCAAACCCAGCAACTTTAACAGAAAATCTCTACAAACTTCATATTGTCACACAATTACCCACATTACAAACACCTGCTGACTTGACAAGCACACGCTGGTATAGAAAACACATTTGAACTTGGTCACATTTCATTCTGCAAGTCCACTGCTGCAGGCAAAGCCATGCTGCAATGACATGCTACAAGGCAATGCACACTTGTTTTTACATCGTAAAAACCCATGTCTAGTTTCATTTATTGTTGTTTTGTATGTGGAACCCCACACTTCAACACAATAGGATATATATATGGAAGTATCTTTCCAGTTTTTAATAATGGGTTGGACACTTCTTATCCCAATTTTAGTTGTTTCTGCAAGAATCTCCTTAGATGTTTTCTCTGCTTGATGCTGATTTGATGGTTTTCAAACAGACACATGTTTTCCACAACCACAGTCTTCCACATGGTTGTTTAAGAAATGAGAAGCAACTCATGGCACCAGTTGGGGTTAAATAACTTGTTGCCAGCTGAAAGATAAACACCCCGTGCAGTAATTATCCAATAGGAGGCTTGGTTTTCAGTCTGTGACCAACAAGTCACTGATGTAGACTTAACCTTTCAGAATAAAGTGGCTCGTTTCATAAACCTCCATATTCTGCAGTCACGTGACCTCTGACCCTGCAGTCAGGTTCAAATGTTGCCTTTAAGAACTCCCCGGGGGGAGGCTGGCAGACACATAAAAGCTCCAGATTAAAGGCTAACTCCTCAGAGGCCTCTTAAGGAGAATAAACTCAATTCATTGCACTGAGGGAGGCCAGACTGTGACGTCATTTCTGTGTTCGCTTCTTCGATTGAGATCTTCATGAGTCATTTAATGATTGAGAAGCTTGATCAGTGAGATGTTTGTAGGAGTTCAGTTTGTAGCAAAACAAACATTTTTACTTTGTGTTTACAAGGTAGTAAACAGTGAAGGATGTCTGATAGATTTATTAATTATCCTCAGAACTAAACTTTGGAACAGAAAAAAGATCAGGAAAAACCAAACAACCTTTCAAAGAGAAGGTCAACAATCTTGTGTGTGAGCTGCCTTGTTTGGGTTTTATAACAAACTTCATATTGTTGGTTTGAAGATGTTTAGGTTATATTAAAATCAGAACTTTATAGTGACGTGTTGCTACAGATTTTGGCCACTTTGTGGAGAGTTTTACTGTTTTTTTGTGTTTGATAGTTTAAAGTTTTGGACTGTTTTTCGGTGACATTTTCAGATAAGATGTCCTGTGGTCACAAACAGATAATGTATTTCTTTTTTGTGTGTTTTCTATGTTAATACAATGTAAATAATAAATATAACGAAGTCATGTAATAATATGTTTTAAGCGTGTTTACCAGCTGGGTCCTAAATATCAACAAGACCTCCACAGAGCTCAAGTACTGATTTAGTGGAACATAAAAATGAAAGAAAACTACAAATAAATGAAAAATATGCTCCAAGAATGCAAAAACCACTCTGGTCTGTCAGAGTTCACAACATTGCCAATATATTTGAGGAAATAATCCTCCCCATCACCATGTAGCTCTGCTGACTGGAATCTCCTCCGACCAGCTGTGGTCAAAAGCAGTGCTGAAATAAAAATATTGGAATGCGTGGAATAAAAACATCATTAGCTGTGTTTCCATCGACCATGAAAATGTGCAAATTAGAATTTCGAAAATAAATTTGCTCAATGGAAACAYGTCATTTTCGAAAAAAATTACGTTTTTCGACAAAATGTTTTTGCGCAAGGATGAGGTGGTTTTTCAGCCGTATCTAAATTGTTTTTTTTTCTTTCGCAAAACTTAAATGGAAACACTTTTTTTCACATCACGGGAGTCACGTGATGAACAACCGACTGTTTCTACTGGTGAAAAAGACGATGATGAAGAAGATAACAAGAAGTAGAAGTAGTAGTAATATCACAGAAGTAGTATAAAATAGTAAACTCACCGACTACAATTTCCCAAAAACACAGCATACGTAGCCGCTCCCAAGTAGGGACTTGTCTCTGGAAAGCCTCGATAAAAGACGCCGACGTCTCCTCTGATGATGAGCGCTAGTGTCGTGGTAGCAACATGCTATGTGTTTACATCCATCACCGCCATGTTTGTAATGACTTATCATGAGAACAAACGTATTCACGTGACTTTAATAATATTTCTTACTTAATGGAAACACTGCAGTTGTGAAAATGTGTTTTTTCAACATTAACTGAATATCAACAAAGTTTTGCGCACATTTGTAATGGAAACTCAGCTAGTGACCTCTGACCTTTTTAGTCCTGCTCTAGTTGGTAAAGATTGTAAGTATTAACTTTCACATTTTCTCCAAATCTGCTTCAGCTGACAGAACTTAATGTCTCAGGTTCTGTTTGAAACCAAGTCTTGAACGTCCGGTTTCAGGTGAAGCTTAATGTTTGATGAAGAATGTGTTTGGGATGATGATGACGTGTTATTATCACAGAAGACACGACATCAGATTAGTGTGAACGTAGCCTCAGTCTAAAACATGGTGGAAAGCTTGACCTTGAGTTAACTGTTTGTTTTGTTTTCAGGTGGATTTAATACAAACGAGGGAGACAAATTAATCAGCATCCGACATGGAAGCCCCTCTACAGTCAGAGGTAAGGACCAGCAGCTGACTGATGACTGAACAATCCTCTTTAGGATGGAGGCTTTTAGCTGCTCAGCTCTGTGAAGCTGCTGTTTGTGTGTCTGTGTCCTGCAGCCTAATGAGCTCACCGTGTGACCCTGTTCAGTATTTATTTCAGATTTGTCCCTGAGTCTTTTTCCCTGAGGTCCTTCTGTCAAACTGAGGGCCCTCTGGGGTCAGAGGCCCCTAATGTTAAAGGGCCAGCTGTCACAAAGCTTCGGGAGGGGGAGCAGTAATTCCAGGGGCTGTACATCAGTCAGACTTCAACCCAACTTCAGCAGCATTTTTCATCTAGAGAAAATGTGTGTGTTTGAGCTCAGGATGTGAGAAATGAAAGGAATGTTGTTGTTTTTTCTTTACTGCACTCAGAGCAGGTTTCTGACTCATCTTCCTCTTGTGTTTTCAGGTTTTTACATTTTGTTTATTGAAATTTTAACTATTGAATCAACAATTATCAACAAACACTCACAGCTAACGAACAAATGGGAAAAAATTTAAATAACTAAGAAAAAAAATTATGAATGCACATAAACTTCCATAAACACACATAGAATCTCACAAAAAAGAGTATATTTCTCACAGTTTTGTATCTTTAATGCTAAATGCACACACACATGCACACACACACACACACACACACACGTGTATATATGTATATATA